CCCCTTATTTGAGTTTTAGGTGATAGAATATTAGAGAAAGAAGTGATTGCCAAAAGTGAGTGGCTAACCTGAGGCAGCCCAGAGACTCTCGGACCCTCTTCCAAGTCCTGCAAGCTCTGGGACCCCCCAGGTTGCTTCCTTTGTCTGGGCTCCCTCTGTGCACCGCTCCCAAGATAGAATACAGCAAGAGCTTTTAGAGTTGGGTTCTGATAAACAGTTTGGGGCTCTTGGAAAATTCTTTCTTACAAAATAGATTATGAACGCAATCTAACCCCATTAAGATGGCCACTCATTGATTGCTCTGCGTGATTGCTCTGTGTGTGTGTGTGTGTGTGTGTGTGTGTGTGCGCGCGTGCGTGCGTGTGTGTGAATTCAGAGTTTTGACCGAGGGACTGTGGGTATGGTCCAAGTTGGGAGCATGACTTAGCCGCAGAGGCCACCACCTTTCACCTTCTCCTCTCCTACCTTGACTTACCAGTTGAACCTGAGCAGCAAGTTACTCAACCCTGACAGCCTTTCCTTCCTCACTGAGAATACGGGCTCATAACAGCACCCTCTGGGGACTAGAACAGGGCTATCTGGAACAACATCATCCAATGCGGAGCCCTGAGTGAGGACTTCCCAGTGGACACACTGTTATCATGGTAGCTGGTGTTTATGCTGGCACCATGTAGGGGTTATTTTATATAATGACACCGCAGGACTGAATTAATTACAAGGCAAATATAATGTCCACCTAACTATTTCAAAGGTCATCTTGAGTCTTTAGAAGCTAATAACACAGATGAGGAAACACCGAGAGAGGCAACTTAAAAACTATTTACAGGAGAAAACTGAAGGGAGGTTAATGCGAGAAGTACAAGCACTTTCGGGGTCTCTGATGGTGGGAAGTCAAGTCTTTGGCTACGTTCAGGAAAAGGGAGTATAGAAAAAAATGATACTTCTTAGCTGATTAGGTGGCAACGTGTCTTCTGATGTCCGCTCAAGATGGTAAATTAAAGCAATGAATCAAAGCCTTGGTGGAGGTTTGGGACACAGCAGATCCCCCCAGACACACAGGATGTGGTGGCCAGTGAGCTCCCTCAGGATAAATGACAGGGTTCAATTCCCTACTGTCAGCAACATTTCCACAGCATTTCCAGCCTTCCCTGTTATTCTAGCTTCCTGTCTGGAAGTGGCTGACCAGTAGAGGGATGGCTTTTACCATTGGGTTCCAACTTCACTGCTCAGTGCTCATGGCTTCTTCTCTTCAGTAAGGACGGCTCATAGTTAATCACACTAATGAAGACCCCAACCTTCAAGCCACTTCTGTGTTTCCTGACGAAACACTTGATGGTTGTCCTCATGTGTATCCAACAAATTCAAGTCATTTTAGCTGTCAGCGTGGACAGATTTGTTCCTGCCATACTCTGGGATGGTAACTGGCAAACACTCCTTCAAAGCTTTTTTGATTAAAAAAAAATGTTTCTCTGGGGTGGGGGGTTGGGCTGGGCCTGGAGAGATGACTCAGTGGCTGAAATACTAGCTGAGGAGGGATTAGGTCTTAGTTTGGATACTCCGACTGTGCCTGTAACCCTGCACCGGGGAGGCAGACAGGAGGGTCCCAGGGCCTTGCTGCCAGCCAGCCTAGCTGAGCGTCAGGCTCAGTGACAGACTCTGTCTCCAGAGACAAGGCAGAGAATGACAGACACAGGAAGACAGCCGGCACTGACCTAACATCGACCTCTGACCTCCAGATGTGCACACCAAGGAAAGCACACCTGCACACGTGTACACACACATGCGGGCACACACGCCCTCTGGCAAGTTCTCAACTTATTATTTCTCTCAGATAAACAAAAAATGAACTGTATGTTAAAATTTCAGAGGAAATGCTTGGAAAATTGACTCGGTGGTGTAGTTTTGGCAATGAGGAGTTTGTAGTTTTATGAGTTATACCGCGATAACAGTTACGCTCTTTACTGTTCACCGAGACGGTTTTGTTTAAACCGTCAGGCATAGGAAGAAGGTCGCGACAGTGGTGGGTCCCGGGGAGCTGGCTGGGGGCTGTCACCTTGCAAACACTGACTCCAGGTCTGTCAGTGTCCTGCATGACAGACGTTATCATGACTAGTTGAGGAATTGAGACACAGAAACTTGGATGATTCTAGCCAAAAGTACAGTGTTGGCGAGATTCAAAGCCAGACCCAAGTTAGGGGGGGATCTGTTTCACCGCTACCACTCCTGTGTCTGCTGTTAGGGACCTTGAGAATGAGACACAGGGAGCGCTAGAACAGACACGAGCTGTCCTTAGCACTCCAAGTTCACTTCTCGTGACGTGACGCTGAAGTCCAATGTGGCCCAGCAGGTGAAGCAGAGGGCAGCTCCCCTCCCCCCTCTCGGGAACCGGGAATTTCGAGTGCAGGAGATGAAAAGGAAGAAAAACTCCTGGCCATCTTAGTATGATGCTGCGACTAGCCATATAGTTCTTGGAAAGATTAAACTCTAAATATAGAGGTGACACAGGTGAAACATTATTTGAATAATACCTTAATTTTATGGAGAGAAGAGACAGTGCCTGGAGGCCCAGCCTCTTCAATGGTTGCCTTAATTTTAAAGAAAACATCAAGTAAATAGTTCCTGTGATTGTCCTCATTTGGCAATTCTTCAATAGCCTTCAGACTATGCATGTGTCCCCCATGGCCACTGGGTCACGCACAAGGCACCATAGTTTTCAATCTCAACACACTATAGTTAAGACAAAGTAGCCACCTGCAATCTTGTCCTACTGTTTATCTACATAAAAGGAGTGAAAGCCGATTTCTTACAATACTGGAACAGGTAGGCTACATCATGTTCTGGGTTCTCTTTTCAAAATATTTATTTATGCATGTGTATATGTGTGTATGTATGCGTATATATGTATGTATATATATGTGTGTGTATGTATGCATGTATGTGTGTATGCATACATGTGTGCTTGAGTTTATATGTACCACATGCATAGCAGGGGCCCATGGAGGCCAGAAGAGAGTGTCAGATTCTTCTGGATCTAGATTTCCGGTTCCAGGCAGTTGTGAGCTGCCTGTTGTGGGTACTGGGAGCCAAACCTGGGTCCCCTGGCAGCGCAGTAAGATCTGAACTATTGAGTTGACTCTCCAGCCCTCACATTTGTTTTTCTGAACTCAATATTCCTTTTCAAATCTCAAAAGAGCATCTTCATAACTGATGGGCAGGCTGTTGACTTCGGGTGGTCTGATGAGACAGAGGCAGGGCAGGGAAGAAACTGAGAGGAAGCAGGTCCCGACTGGATGGCGGCGGGTGACTGCGGACCTGTAGGAAGCAGCTCCAGGCTGATGCCCCCAACCCTGGCTGGTCCCCTGGCCTCGAGGGGGAAGTGGCTGCTGTTGGTGGGCAAGGGGTCTCAGCTCCCCGCTTCCCACTGGGAAACGAGCCTGGCCCTGCTTGTTGAAGAGGAGACCTTTCAACACTTGTCAGCGGGCAAGAGGAAGGCAGACTTTAAACTTTAAAAAGCTTTTTCTTCATAAAGTGAGAAGTGAGAACATGCAGCAGCCCATGACTCCTGTCCTTAGGGATCTTGACAGCACTGTGTCACTGGGAATCACCTGAATTCTGACAAGCCACCGAGTCACACATACAGAAACTTTAACAACATTGGATACAGACTGTCTGTGTTCCATCTGCTTCTTGGAAGATATAGGAACAGAAAATTTTAAAGGTAACACACACACACACACACACACACACACACACACACACACACACACACAGACACACGCCTGTATACACATACATACATATATACACATACAAACACACACATCTTCACCTTTATATACCTCTAAAGAAACATATGCATTCACATATGTACATGCATGTTTTCACCCACATGCATATGCACAGAGACATGAACTCCCACACATGTACATATCACACATATGTCTGTTTTTAAAGTTTTCTGACAGAGCTTTTAGGGAGAAGACTGTGGGGTTCATAAGGAGTGCTCTCCATGGCAGACGGCCAAGACGGATGGCCATGGCTGAGGATGTCTGGACTGTCACCTACACAGTAGACACGAAGCCATTTTCTATGATGCAGAGCTTAGTTCTACTGTAGATTCTGAACAGAGTTGCTGGATCTCCACTGAGTTGAAGCTCTTAGTACTTTACAGGAAGTTTATATTATTATATGGACTTTTAAAAAGTTTCTGTGAAACTTGTTTCAGATGCCCAAATTTGGGCTGGGGGGCGTTGCTCTGTCGGTTAAGTGCCTGGCACAAAAGCACGAGGCCCTGACTTTAGAGCATGGCACTCGTGGAAAAGCCAGCTGCAGCAGCATGCACCAGCAGCTCCAGCTCTGGGGACGAGGGTGGTGGTGGCAGATCCATGGAGCTCACTGGCCAGTGTGTCTCACTAGATTGATGAAGACTGATGAATGCTAGATCGAATGAGAGACTGTGCCTCAAAAAAAATAAGGTGGAGAGTGATGGAGAGAGAGGCCTGACTTCTGACCCTTAAAGACATGCATGCGCCTGCCCACTCAAAGAGGGACACACATGTCACACACACACACACACACACACACACACACACACACACACACACACACACTCACACACGGACCCAAAATTTCATTCTTGTTTCCACCTCTCTGATTTCCCCCTCCTGAATATAGTTTTTATAAATACTTACATTATTATGTGTAGTAAACATAAATGTCCTGCTTTATGGATAATAAAGTATATACTATTTTCCTAAGAACAGCAATACACTCTGATATTTCCTGACAGTAAAGGTTTATGGACGGTTCACACCTGTTTTACCACCCATGCCAATTGTAACGCATGTAAATTCATTGTTCAGTCTGAAGGGTTTTATAAACCCTGAATAATGAACTTCCATCCATTCCAAAAGACACAGGCTATAAAAAATAGCTCGAGATGTCAGTACACAGTTATCTGATGAAATATCCTGCTCTTCTCTCCATCTGCATAAACACAGACTGAGTCTCGAAGCATGGCTACTGCTTCAGAGAGAAGAGTCACTTCAAATTGTGATGCCCGTGGCAGAAGCATGTCACCAGCACTTTCCCTCAGGCCTGGGAGGGAAGCCACACAGGTGAGCTGCTGAGGTCCTCCGCTTGGCTGCACAGGGAGGCTTTGTTTACAGATGACAGTGGGGTGCCACCCACCACGTGCCTGGTCTGTTGCTGGGAATGTCTTTGTTGGGTGCCATTGTCCACAAAGCATCCTGGTAATGGTGTAGTGTGGACGCTCCATCCTAGAGCCTCCTCATGCACACCTGTGACAGCGCTGCCCCCTGCTCAGACAGCATCCTGCACCCCACGCCTGAGTAGAAGCCATCTTCCTCATCCCTTCATAGGCAGAATCGTGGCCTCCCTGGCCACTGCCAACAGGAAGCAGAGGTTAGAGACAGGCTCCTCCTTTCCTGTGGGATCCAGGTTGCACAAAGAACTGAGGACCTGGGCTGGCAGAAAAGGCCTGTTCTGGCCCAGTGTAGATCAGTCTAGCAGGAAAAAGGGACATTGAAGAAATGCCCTGTGCTATGGGACCTTCAGGAGAGGCCGGACGAAAGCATAGGGAGGGAGGGAGGATATGCAGGACCATAGGCAAACAGAGTCCTGAGAGAGAGGGGTCTGCGGAGGTGGAGACCAGTCCAGCAGAGCTGCACGAGTACAGATGAGCTGAAGCTGTGAGGAGCAGTCAGGTGACCTAGGGACCACGTGAAGCACGGCCACTTTTATCACCAGGGTTAACTCGGTGGCTAAGGAGGGCGTACAGGTGGCACAATCTGTCTTCTGTTTTGCTTGTCCTTTATGCAAGGTTTGACGGGGCTAGACCATCTAGGTGCAGTGAGACCAGAGTGGCTTGGTCTAGGGGGACAGAGGAAGGAAGACATGGTTTGAAAAGTAACAGAACAGCAGAAGTTGGTGTTGAATTGACAGAGTGACGGAGGGTATGCTCAGACTATCGGCCTGGTGCCAGATGGCATTAGTGATGGACACTGGGACAGTACAAAGCTTTGAGGGACGGGGAGAAACAAAGGTTTGCCTTTGGCCACATTAAGGCTAAGTAGTCCTTTGGAGGAGCCCGGAGAAGGCAGATGGCTCGACACAGCCAGAACTCTAATACAAACACAGAGACCGGAAGAGAAATCCTAGGATGCCATCGGTGCGACAATACTCATTCATTTCATGCTTGAAAATATCCGCAGTAAGACAGGCTTAGCCTGCTGAGAACCAAGAACCCTAACGAGCAAGGCTCCTAGTCCAGCGCCCTCTGCCAGAGCGCCGTTCATCACGGTAAGGAAGAACTCGGGAGGGACAGGCCAGTTCCGGGGCCTCCTTCAGTGACCCCAGCACTCCTGGGCCTCGATGCCCTCTTCCTGAGCCAGGGTTTGCTTCTGTCTAAGATGGTAGAAGGGACAAGTTCAGCCCGGAAAGCGTTCAGTCTTTTATAATCCTGCAGCGTTCTATTGATTGCAATGATCTAAAACGTTACAAGTGAATCTGTTGATGAAACGCTATTTAGCTTTGTTTTTACTAGGAAGGCCAACCGTTATCTCTCTGCTGTCCACACTGGTATTAGAGTGTGCTGACGTGAGCAGCACCAGCTTGATCAAAGGACAGCCACTTCTTTGCTCTTCGTCTGTTTCTTCAGCCATTACTTTCCACTCGACTCCAGCCCGCGATAAATGGTCACAAACGAGGAAAGCCGGTTCCTTCTGCACACGTTCCGTATCTTTTAAGTCAACCTTCTTCTTTGGACCTTGTCAAGAACTTTGTGTATTCAATTTGGGAATTCATGCACTAATTAAGGCATACTCCATTGTGGTGGTATTGTGTTCCCCAAAATATTGTGTACCTTAATAAATTTATCTGGGGTCAGAGAACAGACAGCCACTAGATACAAAGGCTAGAAAATGGTGGCACTCACACCTTTAATCCTAGCATTCCAGAGATAGAAATCCCTCTGGATCTCTGTGAGTTCAAGGCCACATTGGAAACAGCCAAGCATGGTGACACGCCTTTAATCCCAGAAAGCCAGCCTTTAATCCCAGGGAGTGGTGGTAGAAAGTAGAAAGATATATAAGGCGTGAGGACCAGAAACTAAAGGCATTTGGCTGGTTAAACATTTGGCTGGTTAAGATTTTGGCTGGTTAAGCTTCAGGCTTTTGAGCAGTAATTCAGCTGAGACCCATTCCGGATGAGGACTCAGAGGCCTCCAGTCTGAGGAGACAAGACCAGCTGAGGATCCGGCGAGGTGAGATAGCAACGACATGTTCTGTCTCTCTGACCTTCCAGTATTCACCCCAATAACTGGCCCTGGGTTTGATTTTATCAATAAGAACTTTGAAGATTCATGCTACACTCCATCGCCAAACAGAATCATGAATGGTGACATCTATTTCTTTACACCACAGACATCCACAAAGCTGGTATATATATTTTTTAATTCTTAAAATTAATCTGCAGGTGATTTTTTTCAATGAAGATGATGTCATATAATAATGTGTAGACTATGTTCAAAATGACTTTTGGGGGACTAGAGAGATGGTTTGGTGGTTAAGAGCACTTGTTGATACTGCAGAGGACTGGGGTTCAGTTCCCAGTATGCACATGGCCATTTATAACCCTCTGTAACTACAGCGCCAGGGACTCTGACATCACATTCTGACTTCCATGGGCCCCAGGCACACATACGGTACACATATGTACATGCAGCCAAAATATGGATACACATAAAATAGACATACATCTTTCAAAATGACTTTTGGGTTGTGCTTGCACATGGAAGGGACACGCTAAGGCGGGGTGAGACAGAGTCCGTGACGCATCTTCCTTCAGCATGGTGGGGGCCTCTCGGGTCTGATAACAACTGCGCAGAAACGGAAGAGGAAGGAAGCTCCCTGGCAGAGTCCTGAGCAGCATGCATGAGGCAGCGGCTGGCCACCACGGCACATGACGGGATCGGGGCTCGAGGCCTAGGAAGACTTGGTGAGCAGGCAATCTGGTGCCTGTGTTTGCAGAAGGAAACTGCTACATCCAACAGGTTTTTGTTTGTTTGTTTAATGCTTAAAATGAAACGAAGAAAAACACCCTACTAGTTGGGCTGTGTCTTCTAAATCCAAAACCAACAAAAAGAAGTTTCTTTTTGGCTGTGGGATGGTCTGTATGTCAAATTGCTCTGATTGGTCAATAAATAAAACACTGATTGGCCAGTGGCTAGGCAGGAAGTATAGGCAGGACCAACAGAGAGGAGAAAAGAAAGAACAGGAAGGGAGAAGGAGTCACTGCCAGCCGCCACCATGACAAGCAGCATGTGAAGACTCCGGTAAGCCACGAGCCACGTGGCAAGGTATAGATTTATGGAAATTGATTAATTTAAGCTATAAGAACAGTTAGCAAGAAGCCTGCCACGGCCATACAGTTTGTAAGCAATATAAGTCTCTGTGTTTACTTGGTTGGGTTTGAGCGGCTGTGGGACTGGCGGGTGACAGAGATTTGTCCTGACTGTGGGCAGGGCAGGTAAACTCTAGCTACACTTTTTATTAAAAGACTTGAAGAATATGTATATTTTACAGAGGCCAGGGTGGAGGCACAGGAAGAAGCACAGGGCTCCAGACTTCGGATGTCCGCTCTGTGGTTCTAAGAGGATGTCTGGCCTGCTGGTTACAGAGGGACCATGGAGGCTCTGTCTGCCCAGTTGGATAAGTCTGGTGTGCATTAATTAGCATGACTACCGAATGTGTGCTCCATGGTCATCTTTGACTTTCCATTGGTGTTATTCTGGTGGATTTTTTTCTTCTACGGAGCATTGGTTTAAATACTTTATGAATAGTTAGAAAAAGAAAATTGTACGATTTTCTTCAAGTAACCCAAAGAAGAGATTTTATTTTCTACTTAAGGAAAAATGTAACAGCAGAATAGTCTTAATAATAAACCTATTCCTATATACCTACTTACATGCTCTACAGTTTGGCTTGAGTGCCTGTGTGTGGGTGCAGGGCCATGTATATGAGTGGGGCGCATGTGTGGTGGGTATGTTCACCTAGGGATAGATGTCAGGTGTCTCCCTCTATTACTGGTCACCTTAGGTTTTGAGGCAGGGTCTCTCACTGCACCCGGTGTTCATGGGTTTTAGCTACACCAGTTAGCCAGCAATCCCTGGGGCCCTCTTGTCCCTTCCACCCCAGCAGTGGAGTTATAGGCATGGGACACCACACCCGGTTCTCACATGAGGTCCTCGTGTTTGCAAAGTAAGTGGGTTTCCTGCTGAGCGACTGCTCTGCCCTAGTGTTTCTGCTTGTTTGTTTTTACTCTTTTAAAATATATTAAATAGTTATTATATATATATATATATATATATATATATATATTCTACCTGCAGTGTTTACACATTCTTGAAACACCCAATCTGCTTCTTGTGGACATGACTTTATCTTTAATGTTTTAGATAACAGTATCTAAATAAGACAAGAAAGCATGCTGTCAGTACACTGGCCAAAGTTAATTGAATTTGGAATCCATGCTACAGTTGGGTAGGCTCACTTCTTTTCCTATGCTGTTAAATTAGTAGAGCCAAAGGTTAGCTCAACACAGCCTGACTTACATGCTGAATTTCAACCATACAACATTATTCCATGAATGCTATATTTTGTTTACATTTGGGAATCACTGAATTATTAAATATAATGTTCATATTCTGTCTTCGAAATGACACATTTTGATGGCCATTTTCTAGTCCAGCTTGCTTAGACTTCTACTTCTGAAATAAAATTGAATTAAATGTACCTTTCCTGGATTTCATGAAATAAGCAGAAATGGATTTTTTTTTTTTTATGTTCATCTGTCCTCCGTTTTTAGCCCTGTGCTACATCTTTCAATTTTACATACTGCTGAATGCAAGTTCAGAGTTCAAGGGCACTGCTCTAAGTACATAAACTGTTTCACCCCCTCCCATACAGACAGCCTGATGACAACTGCTAAAGTCTGGCTGTGGTCTGTTCCCGAGGGGTTCATGTGTTGGAAGTTTGGTCCTCAGTGTGGTGGTAAAAGTTATGGGGCCTTTAAGAGGAGGGCTATAGTTTCCTCCCTTGCTATGCGATCTTGCCTCTCATAAGTGCTTTGCAATGCCACCTGCCAAGAAGTGATGCAGTGCAGGTGTCCCTTGAAAGAACCAGTACCGTGCAATTTGGACTTTCAACCTTTAAACCTATGAGTAATACAAACCTCTTTTCATTATGAGTACTCAGCCTCAGGTGTTTTGGTATAGTCATGGAAAGCAGACCGGTACAATTGTGTTAGTGAAAAGTCTTACATCTCTCTGTAGGACATCAAGGGACAACCAGGTGTTACTCCTGGAGGGATCATCTCACTCTCCTCTCAAGCTGGTAGTCAACACTCATGCCAGGGGCCCTGTCTGCACACCTTTCGTTTGCTTACATTTGACTTTACGACACTCAGTCATGACTTCCTGACTGGAAGAAATGCTTTCTCTTCCACTCCCTCGACAGTTCTGACTCTGCTGCTCATTCCATCATTTCCTGTCATAAGCTGCTGTGTGTGTGTATTACAAATGGAGTGAGGTCCCATGCGTGGGAACCTGATCTAGTAAGATTAGTGTTCTTGCAAGTAGACACACTGGGGTCTCTCTCTTTCTCTTACACACACACACACACACACACACACACACACACACACACACACACACATTAAAAAGGACAGAAAAAGCAAGAAGCTGATCAGTGTGAGTCAACAAGAAAGCCCTCACTAGACGTCACATTGAGTAGACACTGATCTTGGACTTGAGGCCTTCAACACTGTGGGTTCATAGTTTTCTGATGTTTAAGCTATCCAGTCTGGTATTTTGTTATGGCAGCCAGGATGGACTAAGACAACATATGTTGGATAATTTCTTGTTGAGAATAAAGGCTTCCTAAAGTGAGCTTGCCTTTTCTGGAAGTGACTGCTCCTTCCAGCCCTGTGGGCAGTATCAGCCTGAGTGAGACCAGGGCATCAGGACTGCTACACACAGGCAAGATCAGTCAGGGGTATGCTTGGTGATATGCAGTAGAGATCACTTACAGCAGTCAAGAGCGAGATAGTCCAAAGGTTCAGAGCAGGAAATGTCAGAAAAATGTTTCCAGGGTCAGGGAATTGCACTAATGTGGCAAATATACGTCCCTGAGGTAACAACAGTTGCCAGATCTTGGGTGAACAGGCAGAGCCTGGGGCAGTAGCTGTCCAGACTAGAAATGTAGGGAAGATGTGTTGAAAAGGTACAACTAGCTTAGCCATGGCGTTCTCCAGAGAATTGCTGTGGAATAATCCTTTTGTACATCGTGAAGATGTTTGCTCTCATTGGTTTAATAAAGAGCCAACTGGCTAATAGCTAGGCAGGAAGAGGTTGGGCAGGGGAGCCAGACTAAGAGGACGCTGGGAAGAGGGCGAGTCACCAGGGGACCCAGATGGCATGCGAAAGAAAGGTAAAAAGCCACAAGGCAAAAGATCGATTAATATAAATCGGTTAATTTAAGTTGTAAGAGCTAGTTAGCAACAAGAATAAGCTATCGGCTAAGCATTTATAATTAATAATAAGTCTCCATCCATGTCATTTATTGGGGAGCCACTGGCTCCAACAAAAAATTCCATCCACAGAGAATGCTCCCAAATACATTCTATGAAGTCGAGACAGCTCCTGGAAGCCTTAAGTGCTCGGGAAACTTCCCATGATGCAATAATGGACCACAACAAGGGGTAAAAGTATCCACCCTCCTCTGTCACTTTGGTTTTGGGAACCAAAGAAAATATTTTTTTCTCCCCAATAATTTAATACAATAACAATCTATCTCTATGCACTGAACCTTCTCTCATA